AGGAGTACTTGTGGCACCTTAGAGACTAACCAATTTATTTGAGCATGAGCTTTCGTGAGCTACAGCTCACTTCATCAGATGTATACCGATGTTATTAGGCCCTAATAACATCAGCCACACTATCAGAGGCTCGTTCACCTGCACATCCACCAATGTGATATATGCCATCATGTGCCAGCAATGCCCCTCTGCCATGTACATTGGTCAAACTGGACAGTCTCTACGTAAAAGAATAAATGGACACAAATCAGATGTCAAGAATTATAACATTCATAAACCAGTCGGAGAACACTTCAATCTCTCTGGTCACGCAATCACAGACATGAAGGTCGCTATCTTAAAACAAAAAAACTTCAAATCCAGACTCCAGCGAGAAACTGCTGAATTGGAATTCATTTGCAAATTGGATACTATTAATTTAGGCTTAAATAGAGACTGGGAGTGGCTAAGTCATTATGCAAGGTAGCCTGTTTCCTCTTGTTTTTTCCTACCCCCCCAACCCCCAGATGTTCTGGTTTAACTTGGATTTAAACTTGGAGAGTGGTCAGTTTAGATGAGCTATTACCAGCAGGAGAGTGAGTTTGTGTGTGTATGGGGGTGGGGGGGATGTGAGAAAACCTGGATCTATGCAGGAAATAGCCCGACTTGATTATGTAAAGAGTTGTCACTTTGGATGGGCTAGCACCAGCAGGAGAGTGAATTTGTGTGGGGGGGTGGAGGGTGAGAAAACCTGGATTTGTGCTGGAAATGGCCCACCTGTTGATCACTTTAGATAAGCTGTTACCAGCAGGACAGTGGGGTGGGAGGAGGTATTGTTTCATATTCTCTGTGTGTATATAAAGTCTGCTGCAGTTTCCACGGTATACATCTGATGAAGTGAGCTGTAGCTCACGAAAGCTCATGCTCAAATAAATTGGTTAGTCTCTAAGGTGCCACAAGTACTCCTTTTCTTTTTGAAAAAAATGCTTGCTTTTAGTTTTTGAGTCTTTTACTAATTGCTCTTCTAATTCTTTTTTGGCCTGCCTAATTATACTTTTACATTTGACTTGACTTTATGTTCCTTTCTATTTTCCTTAGTAGGATTTGACTTCCAATTTTTAAAATATGCCTTTTTCTCTTTAACCACCTTTTTTTAAAACTCTGTTTAGCTAATGTGGAGTTTTTTCGGTCCTCTTATTGTTTTTTTAATTTGGAATTTACATATCATTTGCAGCTTCTACTATCATGTTTTTAAAAAGTGTCCACGCAGCTTGCAGGGATTTCACTCTTGTGACTGTTCCTTTTAATTTCCATTTAACTAGCTTCCCCATTTTGTGTAGTTCTCCTTTTTGATGTTAAATGCTACTGTGGTTGGTTTCTTTGGAATATCCCCCCCTACAAGGATGTAAAATTCAATTACTTTATGGCCACTATTGCTGAGTGGGTCAGCTATATTCACCTCTTGGATCAGAATCTGTGCACTACTTAGGACTAAGTCAAGAATTACCTCACCCCTTGTGGGTTCCAGGACTAGCTGCTCCAGGAAGCAGTCATGAATAGTGTCCAGAAATTTTCTCTCTGCAACCCATCTTGAAGTGACTATATCCAGTCAATATGGGGATAGTTGAAGTCCCTCATTATTATTGGGTTTTCTGTTTTTGTAGCCCCTCTAATCTCTCTCAATCATCATCACCATCCTGGTCAGGTTGTTGGTAGTATATTCCTGCTGCTGTACTCTTATTATTCAAAAGCATGGAATTTCTAGCCATAGAGATGCTATGGTATTGTTTGATTCATTTAAGTTTTTATTATATTGGACTCTATGCTTTTTTTTTTCACATATAGTGCCACTTCTCCACCAGCGCAACTGACTCTGTCATTCCTATATATTTTGTACCCTGATATTAAGCGTCCCATTGATTATCATTGTTCCACCAAGTTTCTGTGATGCCTATTATATCAACATCCTTATTTAATACCAGACACTCTAGATCACCCATCTTAGTATTCAAACTTCTTGCATTTTGTTAGGATATAGATATTCAGGCCTGTCTGTAAAGGCCTATACTCTAAGAATTTAGGTGTATTCTTATCACTTGGCTAGTGATAGAGGTATAAAAGAAAGAATCAAAATCACTGTCTGCTGGTGTAAGGGCCTTCTCTTACTGTGACAGTCTGAGGCCCTGTTCTTAGGCTAAGGCCTTTGGCTAAGCAGCAGAGGCAGCCATAAGCTGGGAAGCGAACAGTCACATCCTCACATTCCAAACTAGTCACACTGAAATAAGGTCTATTCGGCTGTTAGGAATACAATCCTGTCCTGTATTCCTATCACCTCCAGAGAAAGGGAAGTGCCTAGAAAATGTAAAAGGAAACTTAGTTTGATAGCATCCTGTCTGGCAAGAACTCACTTATCAATAGCTGGGATGTGAAATCCTCACTTCTGTATTGTCTTGTCATTATAGTTCCCACTTTGCTGTTGTTTGTCTGTATAATCTCTGTCTGGTTCTGTGATTGTTCCTGTCTGCTGTATAATTAATTTTGCTGGGTGTAAACTAATTAAGGTGGTGGGATATAATTGGTTACATAATCACGTTACAATATGTTAGGATTGGTTAGTTAAATTTCAGGAAAATGATTGGTTAAGGTATAGCTAAGCAGAACTCAAGTTTTACTATATAATCTGTAGTCAGTGAGGAAGGGGGTGGGTGTGGGTGGGCATGGGCATGTGGGTGAGGGAAATGGGAGCAGGGAATGGGGGTAAGAAAATTGGAATCATGTTTGGCTAAGGGTAGGAATGGGAACAGGGACACAGGTCTAAGGCTCTGTGGTGTCAGAGCTGGCAAGGAGGACACTAAGGAAGGAAACTGGAATCATGCTTGCTGGAAGTTCATCCCAATAAACATCGAATTGTTTGCACCTTTGGACTTCGGGTATTGTTGCTCTCTGTTCATGCGAGAAGGACCAGGGAAGTAAGTGGGTGAAGGAATAAGCCCCCTAACACATTTGTATACAAATACTTATAAAATTTGTCAATATTTAGTTGTGTGTCTTCATGTGATGTAACTGAATGTGACTCTTTTGTTTGACAGATCCTCTTCAGTTGCTATCTGTACTCTGATGAACAGAACACAAGAACAGCCATAAGGGGTCAGATTAATGGTCCATTTAGCTCAGTATCCTGTCTGTGACAGTGACCAGTGCCAGATGCCTCAGAGAGAATTAGCAAAACAGGGCAATTTCAAGTGAGCCATCCCCTGTCATCCAGTTCCAGCTTCTGGCAGTTGGAAATTTATGGATACCTGGAGCATGGGGTTTCTCCCCTGACCATCTTTGTTAATAGTCATTGATGGTCCTATCCTCCATGAACTTATCTAATTCTTTTTTGAACCCAGTTACACTTTTGGCCTTCATCCCTGGCAAAGAGTTACGAGTTTCACAGATTGACTCTGAATAATGTGAAGAAGTACTTCCTTTTGTTTGTTTTAAACGTGCTCCCTATTAATTTCATTGGGTGAGCCCTAGTTCTTGTGTTATGCTGAAAGTTAAATGACACTTCCCTATTCACTTTCTCCACACCATTCGTGATTTTATAGACCTCTATTATATCCTCCCTTAATCAATTCTTTTCTAAGCTGAACATTGCAAGTCTTTTTAATCTCTATTCTCATAGAAGCTGTTTCATACCCCCAGTAATATTTGTTGCACCTTTTCCAATACTAGTATATCTTTTTTGGATGTACAATGGATTTATATAGACACATTATCAGATTTTGTATTAACTATCCCTTTCCTAATGTTAGTGTTTTTGACTGCCACTGCACATTGAGCAGATATTTTCAGAATATGCCTGCATTGTACAGCTGTGTATGCAGAGCTGTTGCAGCTGTGTTAGCTGCAGGATATCAGAGAGATAAGGTAATCTCTTTTATTGGACCAACTCCTGTTGGTGAGAGAGACAACCTTTCCAGCTTACACAGAAAGAGCTCTGAGTAATCATAGAATCATAGAATATCAGGGTTGGAAGGGACCCCTGAAGGTCATCTAGTCCAACCCCCTGCTCGAAGCAGGACCAATTCCCAGTTAAATCATCAATCTCGAAACCTGGTCTCACCATCAAAAATTTGGCCAACACAAGCTATCAGCTCATCCTCCACACATGCACCCCATCTCTACAAAGCTGGTGACAGCTTATGAGCCCTCCTTCTCAACAGGGGATAGATAGAGGTCTTCCAGGGGGTACATCAGCTCATCTAGATATTTGCCTAGTTTTACAACAGGCTACATAAAAAAGCACTACTGAAGTCAGTACAAACTAAACTTTCCTATGGACAAAATGAGACAGGAAGCGATTTTTCAGCAATAGAGTGCTATGACATTTTGTATTTTTGGGTCTGATTTGGTACGTTTTTAAAGGAGGTGAAACTTGGGGGTACGCAAGCCAAATCCAACTCCGGAGAGGGGTACAACAGCCTGGAAAGGCTGAGAACCACTGCTCCACAGCGTGTCCAGACAGCCTGTGCCAACGCTGGCCAGCTCCGACGGCAGCGCCCTGCGCAGACACTCACCCCCCCGCCCCGTGGCTGCAGCGGCCAGGGAGGCTGATGTCTCCCCGGCCAGGGACCGCACCAAAGGAAGTGTCGGGCCTCCGCTCTGAGGCGTGACTCTCCCAGGCCCCGAAAGGGCGATGGAGATGAATGAACATCCCGAGCGCCCACAGAGGGTGAACCCACACGAGAGCCCTCCCGCCCAAAGGCCATGGCCATCCCCACCGCCATCGCCGAGCCGCCGCCGCCGCCGCCGCCCGAGCGCGGCTAGGCCCCCTGTCCCCTTACCCGAGCGAGGCCGGCTCCCCTTCTCAGCGCCTCCGCCACCGTCAGCACCGGGCACCCAGACCAGCGCCGGCTCGGCGCGTTGCTCAACCCTGCCCGGTCGGAAACGCGCACCCGGGCCGGAACCATTCGCTATCTGGGCAAGCAGGGCGGCCAGGCGCCCTTCCCCAGACCAGACCAGACCAGACGTGGAGTCGCCTGTCGTTGCGGACGCTTGACCACAGCGCTGGGGTGGCCTGTGGGGGATTTACACGCGGCCGGCCGCGCGCTGGGGCTGTTAGCAAAGCAGCCCCTGTTTCCACCCGGCTCGCTTTGCGGGCGGACCCGCCGCCGGCTGCCTTGGAGTGTTTCTGGGAAAGGGCCTGGGGAGTTTCTTCCCTTCAGCTAACTGACGTGGGTTCCCCGCATAGGTAGGGCACGTGGGGCCCAGCCTCGCCAGGCCTCAGGAGGGGCCTTCTCCATAGGAGGAGCTGCAGGGTCAGGCTGCCCCGGGAACGAGCCGCCCCGTGTCCCGGGGGGGGGGCTGAGGGGAGGCCGCCCCCGGGAACGAGCCGCCCCGTGTCCCTGGGGGGTGGGGGGGCTGAGGGGAGGCCGCCCCCGGGAACGAGCCGCCCCGTGTCCCTGGGGGGTGGGGGGGCTGAGGGGAGGCCGCCCCCGGGAACGAGCCGCCCCGTGTCCCTGGGGGGTGGGGGGGGCTGAGGGGGAGGCCGCCCCCGGGAACGAGCCGCCCCGTGTCTCTGGGGGGGGGGGGCTGAGGGGAGGCCGCCCCCGGGAACGAGCCGCCCCGTGTCCCTGGGGGGTGGGGGGGCTGAGGGGAGGCCGCCCCCGGGAACGAGCCGCCCCGTGTCCCTGGGGGGTGGGGGGGCTGAGGGGAGGCCGCCCCCGGGAACGAGCCGCCCCGTGTCTCTGGGGGGGGGGGCTGAGGGGAGGCCGCCCCCGGGAACGAGCCGCCCCGTGTCCCTGGGGGGGGGGGGCTGAGGGGGAGGCCGCCCCCGGGAACGAGCCGCCCCGTGTCCCTGGGGGGGGGGGCTGAGGGGAGGCCGCCCCCGGGAACGAGCCGCCCCGTGTCCCTGGGGGGGGGGCTGAGGGGAGGCCGCCCCCAGGAACGAGCCGTCCCGTGTCGCTAGAGTGGAGTGAGGGGAGGCTGCCCATGGACTGAATTGCCCACGGCCTCAGGCACTGGGAGGGTGACCCCAGGTTGCAGTGAAGTGGAGGTTTCCCCGTTCACAAGCATTCTGGGTAGTTCACATTTAAGAAACTATTTATGTTATCTCAGTGGGAGCTGGGGGGGAAGAGGGGTTGGGGGATATGAAGGATTTTACTTTTTGTCTTTAACTGAAACATTAAAATAAAAAAAAAAATTCTACCTCCTACCACTCTAAGCACCTTCAGAAGAAGAGTGTTCTGGATGGTTTTAATCTGCCTGTTGTCTAACACTGTCATTCTGAATCTGAGGTGCCTTTCTCTTTTATGGGCTGGGGTGAGCTGAACAAGGGGAGATTTTATCGAGTTAAAATGTGCACTGAGATTTTGAAGAGCCTGATTATCAAAGCTGAGAATGTGCAAACACACTAAGTGTTTGTGCAGGTGGCCCACTATGTGTCTTATTGGCCTTTTGTGTGTGCCCCATAACGCAATTTGTATGCTGCTTCCTATCTCTCCAGAGTAATTAATGCTTATTCATTAGGTATGTGCAATACATATACTGAGTTTAGATGCTCAATGTCTAGTTCTCATTAAAAAAACATGCAAGTAAACTTTCCTCATGAAAAAGAGACTGGAGAAATACTTAAGCTGCACTGTCAACTTAAAAATTGTATGTTGTCAACCCATGCTACAAATGCATAATGGTTGAAAAACCATTCTCCTAGAGTAATCATCAATGGTTCACTGTCAAATTGGGAGGATGTATCTGCTCGGGCCCTTCAGATGTCTGTCTTGGGTCTGATACTATTATATGTTTATGAATTGGATAATGGAGTGGAGAGTATGCTTATAAAATTGTGGATGAACCAAGCTGAGGGGGCTTGCAAGTACTCTGGAGGATAGGATTACAATTCAGGGTGACCTTGACAAATTAAAGACTTGGGCTGAAATCAACAAGATGAAATTCAATAAAGACAAGTGCAAAGTACTACATTAGAAAGTAGTACTAAAAATCATGTGCACCTACAAATAGGGAATAATTGACTAAGCAATAGTTCTGCTGAAAAGAAGTGGGCATGTTTAGTCTTGAGAAAAGAAGACTGAAGGGGGATCAGATAACAGTGTTGTAAAGGCTTGTTATAAAGAGAACAGTAGGGATGTAAAATGTTAACTGGTAAGCATTAGTTTTACCAGTTAACCCGCCTTAACCCCTGGGCAGCCCTGGCCCCAGCCCCAGTCCCAGCTGCGCCGGCCACCGGGTGGATTGGCCCAGGCCCTGTTTCAGTGCCTGTATAAGAGCATTTTAGATCAGTAAAAGTGAGAATTTGAAATCCGGTGGATTTATAACTGTTTTGTCTACTTTTTTGCACTTCTCTTCAGTTTTAACAATGAAAAATAAAGAGAGAGAATTTTGGGGAATATTTATTTGCTTAAAAACAGATGCTTTCACTGCAACCTCTAAACAAAATTTTGGAAACATTTCTATTATTTTCACAAAATGTAAGGCCTCAATCTTGCAATTGGCTGTGTGCAAGAGTAGGCATGCACACACTGTCAGTTTCAGGACTGGGGCCTAAACTTAGCCAAATTTAAGTTGACAGTGTCCTTTCAGTCCTTAAAAAGTGAGGTTTTTCTCCCAGTGGATGTGAATTGAGGCAGGTCCGTTTCACGCACTCAGTTGTGAAAGCATCTGTCTTCCACAGCCTTTGTTGTTGTTAGTTATAAAACAGAGTTATATTATAAAACAAAAATAAAATCTGGTTTTTTTGGTGGTTTTGTTTTGTTTTCAGGCCTATTACAACTGCTATCCCTTCAAGAAAAGTGTTTTTCTCTAACTTAAAAAGAAAATTCCCATCAGTAGTTTGGACATCCTATTTCAAGTAATCATATAAAGCCAATTTTTATCTTAGAGCACTAAATCAGTCTTTTAAAGTCTAACAAAATTACTTCTCTTTCCTCTCTCTTCCCCCCCTCCCCCCTTGTCTGTCCTCTCTGTTTATACTGTAAGCTTTTTAGGGCAGAGTCTGTGGCTTACTACACATTAGTTCAGTGCTTAGCGCAATGGAGCACCAGTCTTGGCTGGGGCCACTACTGTAAAACAAATAATTTAATATCTGTTCATTGTAGTTTCAGAGTAACAGCTGTGTTAGTCTGTATTCGCAAAAAGAAAAGGAGTACTTGTGGCACCTTGGAGACTAACCAATTTATTTGAGCATGAGCTTTCGTGAGCTACAGCTCACTTCATCAGATGCATACCGTGGAAACTGCAGAAGACATTATATGCACATTGTTGTTGTTACTTTTAGCAATCGCTCATAAGCAGCATTTTCATGCATGGATTTTTAGAACCCAAATGTTTGTGTCAGGAAAGAGCTACATTATCCACTCAGGGACTTTGTCTTTAAAGAAATTCAGTTATTAACTCTGATAAATTGACTTTTATAAGCGATATTACAAGTAAAAAGTGACCTGGATGAATTTTTATGACCCATTTTGTTTTGAACAGGATTTGATAGTCATGCTACCTTTTAAACGCTTTTCCAATTTTTCTTCTCTCCTTTGCACAGGTGGAATCCCATTTAAATCAACAGTGTTTCATGATGTAGCAGAAATGAGTTTGGCCCCTTCTTATCTGGTTTTGTTGTTGTTTATGAAATAGTCCCACTGTTTTATACTATGATAAACTTCAGATAAAGACATGGGTTGCCCTCTAGAGGGAGGATTTAATGTTTTTATACTTAGCTCTATGCTGCTTTTTAAAACTTCTGCTAAATATTTAGGTCACTCTCCTGCAAAGGGATTTGAAAGTATCAACCTGTAGTTCTGGATAGAGTCTTGTTTGCTTCAGTGGGACCCTGCTCAGGAGTAATGGTCTGTGCTTGAGGATCCTATTGTAAAATAGAAGCACAACCTACAATGTAAAGTTCTTGTTGCTTGGAATAAAATGTGCATATTTGAGACTTGTTCTATTTATACCAGAGGTTTTCAAATTGTGAGGTGTGTTCCCCTAGAGGGGAACAGAGGAATGTTCGGCAGTGACACCAGGTGGGGCTTCCCCTCTCACCTCAGTAGGCCACCTAGTCTGTGGGTCAGTCTCAACAGCCACGGCAGCTGCGCCGATTTCCGCTCCCAGCACCCTCTGTACCCAGCGTTGGCTCCACTCTCAGAGATGGTTGCACGTTCCTTCCCCCACTCAGAAAACCTGAGGGGGGGGCAGTATTATGTCTATTTTTATCTGGATTGGGGGTGGGGGGGGCAACCAAAAATTGTAACTTGGGGCGGGGAGGGAACTCAGCTCAAAAAGTTTGAAAACCGCTGATTTATACTAAGGTCTGAATCCTGCAAACACTGAGTCCTGTGAGTAACTTTGTGTATCTAAGTTGTCCCATTGAATTCTAATGGACTGCTCACATGCATAAGTGTTAGTAGGACTGGGATATAAGCTGCTGATTCTGCAAATACTTGGGTATGTCCTTAACTCTACTACTGTGAGTAGTTCAATTTCCACTTTTTTTCAATGTGACTTCGCAGAGTAATAAAGTTAAGCATCTGTGTAAGTGTTGGGAGGATAAGGGCCTAAGGTTGTAAGGGACACGGACCATATCTTCAAATATATGTGAAGTGCTATGCATATCCCTGGTGTCAATACACAGATGGATTATTATCAACCCCCAATTTCATGAGCATTCATGGCCCGCCATACAATTTCCATACCCAGATGTGGCCCTCGGGCCAAAAAGTTTGCCCTCCCCTGTGCTAGACCAATCTCAGCTTTTGTCATTGACTACATAAATGGCTAAAGTTAATCAAATCATATTTTTGTATGAAATAAGTAAAAGCATGTATGCTTTTATTTTCTAGAGATATCAACATGGTCAGTGATTATTATGGCTTAAATAAGCCTTTGATGTAAAACTGAAGATGATGCTGAATTTACTATGTGGGTGTGGTTAGATTTACAGATTGCACTTTTAACACATTCTGTGATCCATTTAGTAATTCTGTGGTTGCGTCTTTTTTCTTCTGTCACTTGGGCCACATTCATGCTCTTTTACAGTACCAATGTGGTGGAAGAAAGACTCTGTCATATTGGCTCCATTTGTAGTTGTTCCTCTGCATAAAGTTACACATCCCCAAGCTACAGCATAATTCTTATTATTCTGTCAGGATAGACCTGGTGGCAGGTCAGGTTAAAAGTGTGCTATCATAACTGCATGCATAAGTCTGTGCTTTCTTTGTTGTAATCCTTTGCATCAGTTTTGTGGAATGCAGCTTGTTATCTATGCAAAATGTAACTAATGTTTATAAAGTGCTGAGAGATCCCGAGATGAAAGATGCTCTAGAAGTGCAAGTATAGGTGTGTTGAATTAAAGATTAAATTGTGTGGGTAAATATTCATACAAGAGCATACTTATATTTGCAAAAACTATGTTTTTAAGTGATTAGAACCTTAAATATTTTAAAGTGAAACATCTTCTGAATTATTGATTCCTTTAATTGCAGATATTCATCATTTTGGAGGATTTCAGCACAGAGATTATTGGATTTTGCCATATCTGACCAGGATGAATTCATCATTGGTTGCTTATGATGATTCAGATTCTGACACTGAGACTGGAAAGACTGAAAATCTCAGTCTTTCTGGCAGAGAAACCAGACTTGCAAGTTCTGCTATGAATCCTATTCAGTATTTTGCACCCAGTGGATTAGGCACAAAATCTACATACAAAATGCAGACTGTTGAGAATACTGCCAGCACTGGGACAAGCATTATTTGTGAAGGTGCTCCTGCATATAAGGTACAGGCTAATAACAGGGATTTGGCAGCTGTTTATCCTTGGAAAGAATATTCTAACCAGGCTGAAACGCTTTCTGGAAATGGAAGCTTCTCTCAGAAGAGAGTACATCAGGACAAGATTGTTACCATAAAGGGAATTAGACCATATATCCCTAAAAGACTTCGACAAGAAAAAACTTCTAAAGTGTATGAAAAAAAAGAATCTGAAAAACAGAGAGAGAGTTGTGCAATACCAGGAGAGCAAATTTCCACAGAGGTTTCTGAATTTATTAAGCCATATTTAGCGTCTAAGTACAAATCAACTGAAATCCCAAGGAACTTGGTGTTTCAGATGTCCAAACACAGTGGTCCAGTTAATAAAGTCCAGTGGTGTCCTGTACAAGGATGGAGCCATATGCTTCTTTCCACCTCCATGGATAAAACTTTCAAGGTAATGTACTTATATAGTGGAATGTTTTGTGTTATGTAGCACTCACTTTAAATAGTAAAACAGATGGGAATGGGTTTTTAGTCTGCCTATATTTGATAATTGATCCCATGTGTGTAGTACCTACTAAGACCTTGATGAGATCCTTTGCCAGACCAGAGCCTATTGTAGGCCCCAATACTGCAAGCCTTCTCCATTTTTCCAGTGGATAATTAAGGATTGCAGGGAGGTTGTGGAATCTCCGTCACTGGAGGTTTTTAAGAGTAGGTTAGACAATCACCTGTCAGCGATGGTCTAGATGATACTTAGTCCTACCTTGAGTGCAGGGGATTGGACTAGACGACCTCTCCAGGTGTCTTCCAGTCCTATGAGTCTATGTTTTGTCCCTTTGCATATTATATACCAAAATAAAAGCTTGCGGAGATGATTTAGAATTCATATTTCTAAATCAATTAAGCTATTGAACGTAAGCTGTTTTAAAAGTCTATAGACTATGATAATGGTGCTTGTAGGACTTCTACTAATGTTGTTAGAATTTACAGAACAGTGCTTCTATATTAGACACACAATAATTTTTGTTTTTAATTGAAGAAGCCAAATACACAGTAGTCTGCCTATAGCTCTTGGTATGAAATAAGGAACAGATTTTGTATAAATTCTATTGCTCTTATATTTGATCTTTTAAAAAAATTTTTACTATAATTTTCAATATATATATATATATATTTGTGGTAGAAGAATACATCTAAATCCTCATGTATATTAATGAAGGACTGTTGCCAGAAGCTGGGATTGGATGACAGGGGATAGATCACTTGATATTTACCTGTTCTGTTAATTCCCTCTGAAGCACTTGGCACTGGCCACTGTTGGAAGATAAGATATTGGGCTAGATCGACCTTTGGTCTGACCCAGTATTGCTGTTCTTATGTTCTTATGACTGTGTATTCCAGAGAATATCCCAAAGAGATTTAAAAAAAAAATACTGGGGTGGATATTGGTTGTTTTTTTAAAAAAAATTCTTACATGTTTAGGGAAGGAAATGTTTAATGATTAGAAAGGATTTGGAGTTGGAATTCCTTAAATGGAAGTTGCTTGTTCCTACTAGTTGGGAGGGAAAACAATAGGCAACCCTGGCTTTTATTTTCAACTCTGATATTGATTCACAGTGTCATATGAAAGTCACTTAAATGTTGTAAGTCTGAGTTTACTAGTCTCTAAAATGAGTATAAAAATTCTCCCCATCTCGTGAGGGTGTTGTGAGGTTCTGAGGCTTGTAAAGCTCTTTGAAAACCCTCACATAAAATATGATACTGAAGTACATATTATTACTGTGGGGGGGATTTTCAACTAGATCACTATATTTTCAGCAGTTAATTATTTGTATTATTTTTTTGTTTGCATTTAGCTATCACCCAAAGACCCTAGTCTGGATGGGACTCCCATCATATTAGCACTGTACAAACACATAGGAAAAGACTATCTTTGCTCTGAAGAGCATTCAGCATAAGGCTTTGATCCTCCAAACTGCTCTGTGTGGTTGAACCCCTGTACCCGAACAGAGTCACACTGATTTTAGTTGGGCTACACATGGTGTTAGGGGTCTACCCTTGCAGAACTATTTGCGAGATCATGGTTCAGGGTTCCACTCCTGCAGTTGGATGTGCATGGACAGACCCTTAGATTGGCTATATGACTGTTAAGTGGGGAACATGACTGTTTACAGATAATACAAACACATAGGATGGAGAGGAAGTATTTAGTATGGCACGGTGGGGCATAAGTGAGAAAAATTAGATAAAATAAAGAAGGAAATATTTTCGGTTGACTTTCAGACTATAATCAAGAAAGAGGACAGCTTTTTAGTTAACATACCATCTGGTTCAGTGGTGCAGCAAAAATAATTAGAAATGAAAAAGCAATAGATAACTAAAGGAAAAAGGGGGAAATAGCAATCAATAGAAATTAGAAGTTATGAAGGCAGAAAATTGATAATTGAAGTTAAAAAGCAAAACGTTCGTGGCAGGCAAGGGCTTAGGACAATAAGGAGGTTAAGTATATTAGGAACAAAAGAAATCCTAGCAATTGTATCAGCTCATTAGTAGTTGGAGGTAAAATTATTAATAATGATGCGTAAAAGGCTGAGATGTTCAATAAATATTTCTGTTTTGTATTTGGAAAGGAGCAGAATGATGTACTTGTATCATATGAGGATGTGACATTAGTAGCTGAGGAGATGTAAGACAACAATGGCTGGAGCAGGGGTGGCCAACCTGTGGCTCTGGAGCCACCTGCGGCTCTTCAGAAGTTAATATGCGGCTCCTTGTAGAGGCACCGACTCTGGGGCTGGAGCTACAGGCACCAACTTTCCAATGTGCCGGGGGGTGCTCACTGCTTGATCCCTGGCTATGCTGCAGGCCCTGTTCCCACTCCACCCCTTCCCGCCCCCTCCCCTGAGCCTGCCATGCCCTTGCTCCTTCCCCTCTCTCCCAGAGCCTCCTGCATGCCATGAAACAACTGATTGGGAGGTATGGGGAGGTAGGGGGAGGTGCTGATCTGCTGGGCTGCCGATGGGTGGGAGGTGCTGGGAGCAGGGCGGGGGAGCTGATGGGGGGGTTGCTGACGTATTACTGTGGCTCTTTGGCAATGTACATTGTTAAATTCTGGCACCTTCTCAGGCTCAGGTTGGCCACCCCCGTGCTAGAGATAAACATTTTTCAATCAGCACGCTCAGATAACTTGCACTCAAGAGTCCAGAAAGAATTTGCTGAGATTTATGGCCCTGTAATGTTCATTTTTAATAGATCTTGCAATACTGGGGAAATTCCAGAAGACTGGAGGAGTACTAATGTTGTGCCAATATTAAAAAAAGGGCAAGCTAGATGACCCAGGTAACTATAGTCCTATTAACCTGACAGCATTCCTGGGCAAAATAATGGAAGAGCTGAGATGGAATTCAGTTGATAAAGAATTAAATGATAGGAACAGAGCTGTCCCTTGGGTAGGGAAAATTGGGGCGACTGCTCCAAATCCCACGGGCCAGTGCGATTGGCTGGCATGGTCAGTCCTGGAAGACATAGGCACGGGAACTAGGGGCATGGGGGGTGCTGCGAAACCCCCGGGCTCCTGGCTGCCAGCTCTGCCTGCCCGGGGTATTGGCTCTAGGGGGCGAGGGGGAGACGGGGTAAGGAGGCTGGGGCTTTCAGCACCCCCGCTATTAAAAATGTTCCAGCACCACAGCCAGAAGACGAATCCGTCACTTCCGCAGGGCCCGCCATCTTGTTGGCAGTTAGCGGAGACAGTACCTGGCTCGGCTGCCCACGTTTTGATGCAGTGAGTCCCCCGCCCTGGTTGGAACTCTGAGGTGCCGTGGCACTATTGCTAACAATAGCCCTGCGGTAGACGCCAGCAACTGCCAGCAGCAGCAGGCTGCCCAGCACCATGCCAGATCCGTCCCACCAGCCCAGCCGCCAATACAGAGTGGGGGACCCGCAAGCCAGCGGGGGCTGATTTGTCCTGGGCCCTGCAACTCCCTAGGGATGGCCCTGGATAGGAATATAATTGATGCCAGTCAACTTGATTTTATGGAAAATAGGTCTTATCAAACAAACATGATTAAATTCTTTGAGAGTACCTTTATTAATCTAATTTTGTAGCTGCAAAGTCTACACTTAGGGTATGTCTACACTATGAAATTAGGTCAATTTTATAGAAATTGATTTTTAGAAATTGATTTTATACAGTTGATTGCGTATGTCCCCACTAACTGCATTAAGTTGGAGGAGTGCGTCCTCACTACTGTGGCGAGCATCAACTTACAGAGCGGTGCACTGTGGGTAGCTATCTCACAGTTCCCGTAGTCTTCGCTGCCCATTGGAATTCTGGGTTAAGCTCCCAGTGCCTGATGGAGCAAAAACACTTCCCAGACCAGAAAATTACCATTGGGGATGTTGAAATGCTAATAGTTATCCTTATGGACCCAGCCTACCCCTTGCTCCCATGGCTCATGAAGCCTTACACAGGCAGCCTGAACAGAAGCAAGGAGCAGTTCAACTATAGGCTGAGCAAGTGCAGAATAGTGGTAGAATGTGCCTTGGACATTTAAACATTCGCTGGCGCTGTTTGCTGACTAGGTCAGACCTCAGCGCAACCAACATTCCCATTGTTATTGCTGCTTGCTGTGTGCTCCATAATGTCTGTGAGAGTAAGGGGGAGATGTTTATGGTGGGGTGGGAGGTTGAGGCAAATCGCCTAGCATCCAATTTTGAGCAGCCAGACACCAGGGTGATTAGAAGAGCCCAGCAAGGCATGCTGCACATCAGAGAGGCTTTGAAAACCAGTTTAACGACTGGCAAGGCTTCGGTGTGACAGTTGTGTGTGTTTGTCCTTGATGCAAACCCACCCCCTTTGTTGATTTTAATTCCCTGTAAGCCAACCACCCTCTCCCCTTTGAAATAAAGTAACTATTGTTTTGAAACCATGTATTCTTTCTTAATTGTTTTAAAAAATGAGATAATGGACAAGGTAGCCCGGGTGGGGTGGGGGAGGAGGGGAGGACGGACAAGGCCACGTTGTTTATTGTAGCCACACTAAAAATCAAACTGTTTGAATGACAGCCCTCTGTTGCTTGGGCGATCCTTTGGAGTGGAGTGGCTGGGTGCCCAGAGCCTCCACCCCGTGTTCTTGGGTGTCTGGGTGAGGCGGATATGGAACTTGGGGAGGAGGGCATGCAGTTATACAGTGGATGCAGTGGGGATCTGTGCTCTTGTTGGCTTTCCTGCAGCTCCAATGGACGCTTCATCATGTGCGTTTGCTCCCCCATTAGCTTCAGCATTGTGTCCTGCCTCCGATCTTCATGCTCACTTAATTCTTTCCTGGCTTCTGCCACTGAATGCCTCCATGCATGAAGCTGTGCCGTATCAGTGCAGGAGGACTGCATGAGCTCAGAAAAGATGTCATCGTGAGTGCGTTTTTTTCGCCTTCTAATCTACGATAACCTCAGG